TTATTGAAGTTTAAAGTAACAGCCAACTCTACCACCCTCTTTTTAATATTCTTTCCGGGTTCTTCTCTTTCCTAAAAGTTAGAACTTCGAATTCTCAGTGGCTCTTCCAAAATAGAGCACAAGTGGAAGCCTGGGCAAAGGGTAGACTTATCAGACCTGAAAAATGTATGTATCAATGGAATGGCAGAGAATATCATTCTTTTTTGAAAGAGCACTTCTGCACATTTGGTCATTAGAATAATGACATGCAGTAATGTAGCCGTAATTATAATGGAATCATTTAGAATTGGCAAAGAAGACTATGCTCCCATTAAGAGTGTCTAGGTGACTAGGCATCAGCTAATGGGTTTAGTGCCTAGAAGAGATTCGTGGGTTCAATGGGTTCATGAAGCAAACTGGTAAAAGTATATAATTCATGGTTCAGGTTTGATCATGACCCAAAATCAAGAGAAAAGGACCTTTTTCTTCTTGTCCACATTCTTTATTTCTTTGAGTTAGGGATATCTCTGCAAAAATGATTATTGGCTTTCAGTTTTTCTTCAGCAAAATTTTCAGATGGACAGTGCTGGACTTCACCACTGTTGAACGAATATATGTTAAAGGTCGCTCTCCGGTGTAATTCAAAGTGTACTGCCAAACCCAGGTAGTTGCAAGTTACAATGAACACAAGCCAACAAAGGAAAAGGGTATTGCTGTTTCACTTCCAGTCGGGCAGCACGAATGAACACTCATTTGTGTTTCTGCTTGGCAAATTGACCTGCCCAGCCTCTGAAGAACCTGACTTAAGGGCATGGCCATAAAACACCGACACATACACTTGCATGTGGGTTTGGAGAGAGACCTTTCTCTCCCCAATCTACACTGACTTCTCCATGTTTTCTCTACTGGATTACTTTGGGAAACTCCACTTCAGACCAAGTTTATTTTTTTCTGTAAGACAAAGGCTCACGAAATTTAATTTTCTGTGTCATTCTATGTAGTTATATCTATGTAATTATATACAATACCTTTCATAGTTGGTCTAGAAATTTAAGAATTCTCCTTAAAAGCATCGTTTCTCCCAGGGGCACACTAGCATTGGCTTCTTCTATGTGTCATGAGGTACTTATTAGTTAGCAAGAAATTTATTGTCATTTCAACAGTTATACGTAGTTGGGTTATATTTTGGTGTAAGGGTCATTCTATTTTCTATTTTCCACTGTAAAACTGGCACGTTTTCAAGTTAGAGGTCTTGTTTTTTCTCAATTGTATTTAATCATATGATTGGAAAGTTGCAAAATTCAGTGATTCCCAGTGGGTCTTCTGTCTCTTCAACAGAAGAGCGAATGTTGTTTGGTTGGCAGTCACTCAAAGTCTGTTAAACTGCAAAGTACTTTATCATTATTCTTCTGAGACCTCGGAATAAATAAACTTCACCTAATGAACCCCTCCTCCAAGCTTACAGCAGTTTTGTAATTGCAAGCATTTAAAAAGCCAACTTCTGAAATGAATTTTTCTGTAACATGTGAGATACTGAAACAAAAGGAAAAGTAGGAAACTTGTTGCAAATATATGGTTATTCATAGTTATTATGAAGGGTAGATAGTGGTTTTTAGTATACTCTACAGTAAAAATGCCTTGTTGTAAAAAAAAGATGTAATTATATGATTCTAAAGCACCTTTGCAGATTCATTGGCATTTGGATAGGCTGAACTTTGGTACCTTTGCCTTAGCCTTTTCTTTAATGGGTTCTGATTTGAATTGAGTAGTTTTCAGGTTTTTTTTTTTTTTTTTTTCAAGTTTGTCCTTGATATGTGAGGAAGATAGACATAGCATGTGTAGTTTCTGGAATGAAACTACCTGCAAATGATCTATTTAAATGGCCAGACCAGTATTTCATGTCTAAATGCATATGTTGGAAATATAATCAGTTCCTTGAATAATTAAAGTGATATGTTTTAAAGGAACTTAATAGGCATTATCCCAGAATTCTGTTTATGCTGTAAGCTGTGTTATAATATGAGATCATTACAACATTCAGTATTTACTGAATTCAAAGTGAAAGAGAAGCTAAACTGAGCTATGAGATAATACTTATCCCTTAGGAATACGGATTCTAAGGAACTGGCTAGTTTTGAGAGTTTATGTTTCCATTTCTTTATGGTGAAATCTTGGCCTAAGAGCCTGTGTAGTCCAGGAGGGTGAGTAATGCCATTCCATAAATTCAACTTAGTTCGTATTTACGATTTCTAAACATACTTTTAAAACTTGTTCAGTGTCATATTTAAGTCCCATCAGGTTGCCTGCAATATAAACTATGGAGAGGAATAAATAAAAGATAGGCCACAAAGGACTGCAGTGGTTTTGCTTCTTTTCTTTTTAAAGACCATTTTATTAAACTTATATCATTTGGACAGCTGAGGATTATCTTAGCCCATTCAGGCTGCTATAACAAAATACCATAGACTAGGTAGCTTATAGACAGCAGAAATGTATTTCTCACAGTTCTGGAGGCTGGGAAGTCCAAGATCAAGGTGCCAACAGATTCGGTGTCTGATGAGAGCCTGCTTTCTCAGAGGTGGCACCTTCTCACTATGTGGAAGGGGCTAGCTAGCTGTCTGGGCGCTCTTTTATAAGGACAATAATCCACCTAATCACTTCCTAAAGGCCCTAGCTCCTAATACCATCACCTTGGGGGTTGGGATTTCAGTATATGACTATTGAGGGGACAGAAACATTCAGATCATAGCAAGGATGATGGCAGAAAGGAGCCACTGTCACTTACTGTGTGTAAGTGAGGCTAAGTTTTCTTTTATGCAATAGGTTTGGCAGTACAGGTTAATGGTGACAGACGGAAGGGGAAGCTCATTTAGGAAAGATAAGAGGGAAATAAAGGCCTTTTAAAACACTCCACTTAACAGAGTTCCTAGTTGGCCCTTGTCGTTCACCTGGGGTTTAAATTCTATGACCAAAGGTTCTATCCCTTAAAAATAAGTACATTCTTAAGAATAAGAATCAAGGAGTCACTACACACTTTATAGATGACATAAATTCTACATAATCCTGACTTGATTTCATATGCAATGGAATCTTCTGTTTTCTAGAGTCTTATCTTGAGCAATAAATTATAACATCAGATGTAAATATGATTCATGTACCAAATACCAATAAACATGGTTAGAGATTTTGTGAGCAAGCATGAAAATACAATATACCTGATGTTAACCAATGTAATATACTCCATAAAATGATTATTCTTGTAATAACCCCAATTAACTCATTTCTTTTTATTGTTTTGGTTAAATCCATATAATTCTATAAGGGTATGATATAAGATTGCCATTTTTTTTTCATCCCACTTCCTCCTATTTCTCTGGCTCTAACTTGAGCCAACGTGAAGAAATACTAATTTAATGAGACACACAGACATGAACCTAGACACAAAAGAATATTAGGGGTCTTTCATTCTTTTTTGGAATATATCTCTACCACTTTTGTAGAAATAAACCAAGTCTAGTCCTGAAGCTTTCGAACCTCTTTGGTGTTGTTGACTTTTTAACTAGTGAGGCAAACGTCTAAGAATCTCCACCAACTACATTTTTGGGGAGATACCGAAGGGTCCTAGAATCTTGGTGAGGTTGGAGATGAGGTGGCCATTGACCTGTGGGAGTTGCCAGGCTGTGAGCGGCTGCCTGAGAGCAGCACGGTGGGGAGATGCTTTGGAGATGGCCAACCTGCTTCTGAATCATGAGTGTCAGGCTTGATTAAAATTCTCAATTTTCTTTGACATTGTGGCTGATCTCTTGATCTATTTTTCACTCCTGATTCTACTAATGTGTTTTTTTCCCCTCCTCTAGGGGTGGTAAGAGGTCTATAAATAATACCTTATGTAGAGCTTCCTCTGATCTCTGCCCTTTGTTCTCATCTTTGGTGAGTTCGGTGAGCGTTTAGCTTTTTCTAGGAAAACATTTTTCAATCATTAAACCTTTGGGTGAAGAATGCAGAAAAACAATTTTTAACCCTCTCTTTATCTTTTTCAATACCTTTCAGAAGGTTTGAAGTGAAAGAAAAGAGCACTTTTGTTTGGATCATGATGAATAGCAAAATGATGATGCGTTCCTGTTTTCCTTTAACAGTGTAGGAAGTGTCTGTGTGTGTAATATGTGGGATATAAAGTCTGTCAAATGTGTTTTGCTCTCATTTCCATTAATTTTTTTATTGCTGTATATTGCTAAGTTATCAGAATGTCTAGTAGTCTTAGAAAGCAGAAGCTATGAAAAGAGCGTTGTTTGTTCCATGGCTAAGGTTAATAGGAGATCTATTATTATCAGGATAGATCTGTTGTTCACTGAGCTTGTGTATTTTTAAACACATGTGGAACCACACTTGAAGGGTAAAGCTTTTATTAGCATCTCAATGAGAGGGGAACATGTATCAGCTGAGAAAATATTATATATTAAAGGAAGACAGAGAAAAACATGCTGGCCGTCTTTTAAGCATCAACAAAGGGAAATTTTACATTCACCCTACTACACACATCATGTTTTTCCCATATTTGAGGTAAATGTTGGTTCGTCTCTGATATTTCACCTTATTTGAACTTGTCTTGTGAAGTCACAACAGGATCTTCAGAATGGTGGCTATTTCTACACACCGTAGGCTCTGCCCACATGGAGAATTTTTGAAATGTATATTTTTTCTATCTTATTTTAAAAGTTTAGTTAAATAATCATTCCTGAGATTTTCATAGTCACATATAGACAGATATAAAACCAGGGATGCTTTGGCTTCTTTTGGTTTGCTGTTTTCCTCTCTAACTTTAGGGGAAAGAGCAGTCTAGTGATTCCATTTAGGTGTCTTTATGAAAATTATGTAATTAACGAAATGATGAGCTATCAAGACTGCACAAAAGGAGACATTTTGGAAGTGCTGGTGGGGATGGAGATGGAGGGGTTGACACTGCTATTTCTAGAGGAGGTTAGAACACTTTTAATTGTTCTTCATTAATTTGGTCTTCCTAGGTGGATAAAATTTGAAGAAAAAGTGGAACAGGGTGGGGAAAGATGGAGCAAGCCCCACGTGGCCACACTGTCCCTTCATAGCTTATTCGAGCTGAGGACGTGTATGGAGAAAGGATCCATCATGCTGGACCGGGAGGCTGCTTCTCTCCCACAGTTAGTGGGTAAGTTTGCTGTTTTAACTTCCCGTGGCTTTTTCAGCTTCGCCTACCCATGTGTCTCCATCAATGCAGATGGCGACTAGTGTTAGCAGAGTTGGATATTCTGTAGCATTTACTCTCTCTTTTTTATATTATAAAACTAGTGTGATTTATTGCAGAAAATTTGGAAAATACAGAGAAATATTAAGAAAAATTTAAAAAACCATCCACAATACCTCTCTCTGGTCATGGCCATTGTTAACATTTTAGAATACTTCCTTCCAGATCTTCTCTCTCATGCTTTTCATTTTTATGTTACTCTCATACCATTGGGATGGTATTGTATATGCACAGATTTGCATTCACTTTCTTCACTTATTAGCATAAGATTAATGTTTTCAATAGAGTGCCCTTACTCACCCACCCTTGGTAATATTGGACTGGAAGTCTAGACACTAGATTTCTAGAACTCTTTGACCTTATATTTGCATTGAGCTTCTCTGGTCCTCAGTTTCCTCATCTGAAAAATAGGACTTAAATCCTCTGTGAGCAGACAAGTAATCTACTTTCTGGGTTGGGTCTGATTATAGGTGAAAGTCAAGCCCCTTTAGTTGTGTGTAGAGAAATATTGTGTGGGGCAGGGATCTAGCAGGACCTTAAGGGTTGGTGACTGAGTCAGGTCACATTGGTGCCAAGTGTCATTTGTATCAGCACCAGCAAAGTTACTGAACCTCATGGTGCGGGCACCTTTGTCATCTTTTGCAGTTAGTGTAGTGTGCACTGAATGTGAACTCACCATACTGAACACGCTGGGCACACATCACTGCACTCCAAATTGGAGTCATTGTTTTCTTTTTCTACCAAGAGCCTGGCCTACGTTGCCTTATTACCCTTCAGATCTAGATGTGCCAAAGATCACGTTTTCCTTAAAAAGAGATACGGGGGCTCTTTTGCTACTTGTTCCTAGGAAAATTCCTGTAGGGCTGACAGTGCTTTCTCAAGAGGTCTATAGTATTCCTTCCCTGGGATTGTGGGGAAGAGGATGTGTATCATGGACCTGCAGAAAGTGACCAGTGTAACAGGCTTGTGTAATTTCAGGATTATTGCAAGATTTCTTTGTATATCTACAGACAAAAGGCTTGCCTATGGCATCTGTGTCTTTATAGACAATGTGAAGGCCACAGCATGTGTGTTGGAAGAAAAGATTATCTGTCAGATGAGGCATATCTGGCTGATGTATATATACCCAGTTCTTTTTCTGAGAGCTTGTTAGATTTGCAAAGAAGCCCCACGCTTTTCATGCATCTGAAGTATTTAAGGTACAAGTGTAGAAGGGAGAGGACTAATGTGTAGATGCTGGATGGATAGGAATAATTATTTCATGCATGTATTTGGCAGTGGTACATGAGCTTCTACAATGTGCCAGACACTGTTCTAGGCCTTGGAATTAGGTTTGCAAATCTACCGCTTTGTAAATGGGATAAGTTACAAATCCACGTAGGTACAAATCCACAGAGATAGAAGGTAATGGAGGAAATACTGCTCTATGTAGAATTTTTCATACTGAACAGAGCAGGAGAGGCTGAACATGGAAATTTGATATGTGAAGAGAGATCTGGGACTGTAGTACCTAGGGAGAGTAGAGCCCTCTACAAAGGCAGAAGCAAACAACAAAAAAAATGGCTTTCTGGGGGATTTGTTCCATTGACTTTTTTCATTTATTATACTCTGCAAGAGAGATTGTTATCCAAAAAAAATATCATGATTAGCACAAATCAGTCCCGTTTTTGAGTGAGAATTATAATCTCTGCATTCTCAGACTTTAAGAACTAACCTGGAGCAAAGATGTCAGAAATTACACAGGTTCAAAAATAAATCAGAAGAAAAATGCAGGGCAAACTGGAGAAGAAACTTGTGATTAGGCAATGTATAGGCCATCTAGGAGGAGGGCAAGCATCAGCAGAAAGGTTCCTGTATTTAAAAAAACCAGTCTTACCATGGTCATCATTACAGCCTGAAATTTCCCTATTCAGAGATTCATTCCACTGAGCTAAGGGTTCGTCCTTTATGAAAACATACCGGAAAGGGGTCATACGTTAATTTCATGAGGCGCAGAGTGCTAGCATAGAAAGAATGCTGGGATTTAAAGTTGGGGGTGTGGTTTAACTAGAGTTCACCCCTACTAGCATGGGCGAGGCAAGTTACTTAACTCTCTTGGAGTCTTGGTTTCCTCATCTATAAAAAGAAGGATGAAGCTGGGCCTTTCAGGGTTGTTATGAGAATTCAGCGAGCTCATCAGATGTAATTGTTACATGCTTACACGTCTGTCCCAGTATGAATTAGTTCATCCAGATCTTTCTGCACGTCACCTAGCCGAGGGCTGAGTGCAGACCGATTGAGTCAGATAGATGCTCGGCGCCTTCATGAAAAGGAGAAAGGAGTCTCAAAGGTGTGGTGGACAGAGCCGGAAACAATTGAGCAGCTTTTGCCGTTCCTGCAGCCGATCAACAAGGATGATGAAAGTCACAGTTGGATTACACACTTGGCCTTTTCTGTAAAAACGTCTCTGGAATCTTCAGCACCAGAAAGAGCCATCTTAAGGAGCTTCTGGTCTTCAGCAACTAACTGACCCTTTACGTGTAGTAGAAGACAGAATCCTGTGTCACATTGAGACGTCTTTAGCCAATGGCCAAAACAAGAAGTTCTGGTATTTACTACATTTAAGAGAGTTTAATGAAGCATTTTACATTCTCCCTTTAATTTTCCATCACTTTTTATTATCAGCTGTGAACTTTTTCTCTAACTTCCATGAATTTACTTGAAAAATTGTCATTACATGTTAAAATTAGAAACCACTAGGTCACTTTGAGGTATCATCGCTCACTGATATGTTTGCGCTGCAGTGCCTGGGGCAAGCTGGCAGAGAGCCAGCGCTGTCATTTCTGGAGCTGATACTACGGAAAAACAGCGCAGAGGCGACCAACACATCACAGGCAAAACAAAGCGGGGAAACAGGGCCAGATTTGCAGGAGCGGGGAGAAGAGCATGTTTGAAAGAGTGTAACTGACTAAAAAGAAATACTTTAAAATCCTCTGAAAGAATCAAAACCTTGCAGAGGGGAAAACACGAAGACAAAAAACCCTCATGTCATTTTCAATGATAAAAGATGGCACAGTAACTTGAAGAGTCTAGTCATGATTTAGATATTTAACAAGTCCTTTTCTAGCAGAGGATGAAATGCAATGCACGGCTAAGTCATAAGCTGCATCTCCCCCGACACCCCAATTTTATTTCAACAAATGAGAAGAAAAAGAAATAATAGCAAATGTGATCATTACCACACAAACAGTGGCATGCTTTTCATCTTGCTTTGCAGTCGCCCTGCTCCTCCTCTTCGGCCTGCCTCTGAGAGGCCCCAGGCCACGCTGGGCGACTGTTTAAGCAGGTGTTACTTCTCATACTTATATAAAAAATTCAGCCTATTTTTGATTCTTCTCGGGACCTCTAGTTGGTTTTTTTTCACGAGGAACCTCTTCTGAATGTTAATAGAAAAATTTATCTTTAAAGTATTATAAAGGATAAAACATCATTTTCACAGATTATTTTAATAGCTTTATTATTAGTATCATCATCATAATTCTACGTTTAAAAAGTGTCATTCACATATGGAAACAAGTCTATGGCAATTTTCCTCCCCTCCTAAGTTAAAAAATATTATAAGCCATTTCAGGTATTTTATTATGATGGGAAATGGATTGGGGAAAATGTAGCTCTATTTTTGGAGTTCTCATTTTTATATTTAAAGGCATTCCTGAGCTGCGCACGTTGGCAGATGTGTTAGTCCTGTTGTTTCTTACTTTTTACACCTTTTATATTTTCAAAATGGCAGTGCCTTTTTTCCTAATCACCAGACTGATATATGTTCATTTTTAAATACGGAAAAATATAATGCACAAAAATAAAAATACCCACTAATCTAATCTCTCAGAGTTATCCTCTCAGCATTTTCTCTGTGCAACTCTATTACACATATATAATTGATTTTACAAAATGGGATCCTACTCTATCATTTTAGCTTGCCCTTCTCTAAATTTAAGAACCTAATATGAATTATTTTCCCATGTCATTAAATAGAAATATAAACATCATTTTAATGGCTGCACAATTTTCCATAACGTAATATTGGGCATTTAGGTTGCCTTCAAGTTTTAACTGTAAAGAAAAGAATGAACATCTTTGTTATATTTTTGTGAAGTTGATTATTTCTTTAGTATAGATTTCTAATGGTAGAATATTCAAAAGTTTTGAACATATTAAAGAATCTTGATATGTATTTGCCAAATAACCTTCCAGAAAGTTTGCACTTGGTCTATACTGTGCTATCATCATCAGTATAGAAAATTGCCTGTTGTTCACTTCACATCATGGGGGGCGTGGATTCACCTTTTTAATTTTTACCACTTTGATTAAATATGTCTCATAAGTGGTTATATTTGTATAAATTTATTTAAGTTGTCTTTGTTAATCTTGAAGCTGAATAATTATTTATATATTTTTTGGCCATTCATATTTCTTTTAAGAATGTTTATGACCTTCGGCCATTTTTCTGTTGCATGGCCATCTTTCTCTTGGTTTGCAAGAGCTCTGCATATATCAATTCTTTTTTTCTCTAGAGATCACTTTTTTTTTTTCTTGTCCTTCATTTCCTTTAATTTATTCCATGTTCTAGTAGTAACCACACAATCATCTGCAATCTCGTGGACAAGACTCTAAATGTCTACTACATTATCAGAGTATCAGGGGAAATTTCTGTTCTCTCTTTGACTGACAATTATCCACTTCCTTGTCCACTATTGCTGTGGAAAAACGGTATTCCTAGATCATTAATAAGTGCATTTGGCTAAAGTCTTGTCCCTGTTTTACAGACTGGACTGTCAGTGTGAACATATATAACCACCACCTTCTATACTACCATACACATTAGCCATGGCTAAAAGTCAGGTTAGAAGGCAGAGGCCTTTGGA